CTGTATGCCACCATCCCCCAAAGAAATCCCGCTACAAACGCACGCAGGGGCTGACAAGGAGACTCGACAACAGCCGACAGTTTCCGAAAGCAACCGAAGCAAGGTCTGCAAAGTAAAGTAAAGCTATCCCTGTAACAGGCCGTGGAAACCCATAGGGTTGAGAGATGTTGAGGGTCCCAAAGTATCTAGACAATGGGTTCATAGATGGTGGTGAGGTTGTCAGCCCTACGCGCCGGCCGCCCTTTACCCCCAAAGAATATTCCTGCTACTCATTTCTGTTAAGAGGCTGAGTCCACCCCAGGGCCATAGTGCGGCCGGAAGGATTAGGTCAACTGAGAAAAATCCAATGACCTCATCGGGACTTCTGGCTTGTAGCATACTGCCTCAACCAAATACGCTACCGCGTGCTCCCTGGTGTCCAAGGTAAGAAGGTAAAGTTGGTCCTGTCTTTAACTAATTAAGCACTACGCCATGAAAGTGTATGGGGAAGTGGATGTATAGATCCACATTTTCTTGAGCTCGGCACTGACTGGTCAGCTTCACGTCACAACCGCTTTATCACCGGGGAAAGAGCCCCCGGTACCCACTGCATTGGAGGTTGGGTGGACCCCAGAGCCGGCCTAAACGATTTGGAGAAGAGAAAATTCTTGACCCAACCGGGACTCAAACTTTAAACGTGAACTTCGCTTTCCTTTAACAAACAACTTTCAATGAAGTCATTCCCTTGGTAAAACTATGAGACAGCGTACACTGTAGTAATACTGCACACACTGTCGTCAAATTGTTTCAGAGCCAGAGAAGCTTTTCTTATTGACGGATTGGAAACACATCAACATCATGCGAGGGATCCAATCCAGAAACGAGGCAGTTAAATGTTTAAGTTCGTCGCTGAAATAGTTTGTTTAGAAAAGTTCTTATAACCACCTACTAACCACTAGACTCGCAATTCCCCTTCGTTTGCTTCGGATCTTCTGCCTGCAAATTAACGATGTCTCAATCTCGAAATGCTACTTAGGGTGCTTTCCTTTAGAATATGTCATTCGTAGTTTCGAGAATATCATATTGGGATGGAATTGAGTGGGACGTAATTTAAGGTCTATGCGGATGATACATAATTTATTGGGCAAAAACATAAATACCATAAAGAAAAACAGCATTTACAGTGGTTCTAGGCACTACCAAGGAGGTTGGTCTGTAAGCAAAACCAGAGATATGTTAGTATTCTGCATGTTCGTATCTCGTCAGGAGAATATTATGAATACATAGGCAATAAATCTTTCGAAAGTGTAGCAAAGATCACTACTTTGAAGACAGTAACAAAACAAAATTACATTCGCATGCGAGAAAAGGACATGCAGCACAACACACAAGAGAGAACACAACCAACTCAAACACGCATGCGCGTCGAGAGGACCTGCACACAGACAACATAAACAACAACAGCAGATATCGATACTTTTAAAGTTAATAACTTTAATAAAGTTAATAAATAAAAATAAAGTGAATCAGTTTTATAGAACATAGTGTTACACGTGACTCTGTGAAAAACTAATCGACACTACGTTCAATAGTCAGCACAAATGAGGACATTAGTTAAAAGCCGTTAGAACTTATGAACGAAAATATACAGGCTGCATGCTATGGCCTAACGGAAGTTTGCTTGGGGCTGTCCTATTTATGTACCAGTTTCCCGCCTATCACGAGACTAGATACTAACGTTATGCCACAGAAGGAAATCCTAACGTGATACTCTGAATTTGTGCAACGGGAGGGAACTAACGTCATGTCGTTTAGAATCTGGAATTCTGTACGTATAATATCCCCGAAAGCGCTGAAGCTTTCATGGCAATTCATTTTTGGTACAAAGTATAATGTCAATATGGCGGCCGTGCGAAATTCATTTGCTTTCGATTTGATGGCAATAACTACTGGAGTTAGACATGCGAAACATCGTGTGGCGATATATCAGACGTATGCCTACATATAATGCAAGTAATATAGTCTGTAAGTCAACAATTACAAACAGAAACATGGTATAAGGTAAGGCTATCCCTGTAACAGGCAGTGAAGGCCCATGGGGTTCTGACGTCGAGGCGCCCACATTTTCTCTCGACAATCGGCTCACAGATGGCAGTAAAGAAACATGGTACATGTGAGAAGTTTTCATGATGTATCAGACAAATAAATGCTGGCTGGATCTGTACTTACGAAACGGTAGACTGAATCTGCGCTTAAGAAACGGCAGACAGAATCAATACTTACACAGTTCACACAAACGCGAAATGACATCAATAACAATAATAGCTATATGCCTGTAGCACTATAAATCTATGCAACATGAGTTCAGCTCACTTCACGTTGTTAATAGTTACAAACCTGCTTAACGACTGTGTTACGGTGACATATACTTCATATGAGGTGTTGGTTAATTTAACGACCCTATTTCAACTGCCTTACATGATTTCGAAAGATAAAAGAGGTAAAATTATGAAATGTGGAAAGAACCTTTTGTCTTCTCGCCTGTCCAAAAAAAAAAAATAAATAAAAATTAGAATATACAAAACTATAATTTTGCCTGTGGTTCTGTATGGGTGTGAAACTTGGTCTCTGACATTAAGGGAGGAACATAGACTGAGGGTGTTTGAGAACAGCGTGCTGAAAAGAACATTTGGACATAAGAGAGATGAAGTGACAGGAGGTTGGAGAAAGCTGCATAATGAGGAGCTTCATAACGTGTACTGTTCTCCAAGTATTAGAATGATCAAGTCAAGGAGGATGAGATGGACAGGGCATGTAGCACGAATGGGAGAGAAAAGGAATGCATACAGGATACTGGTGGGAAAGCCAGAAGGAAAGAGACCACTGGGAAGACCAAGGTGTAAGTGGGTGGAAAATATTTAAGGGGATCTTAGACAGAATGGGATGGTATGGATTGGATTGACCTGGCCCAGAAGAGAGACCAGTGGAGATTTCTTGTGAACACGGCAATGAACCTGTGGGCTTTGTCGATGTTCCAATAGATAACCACTTCGGAAAGTTTGTGGGCCCTGAAAAGGGCAGTTTGTTCCACCGCGGTAGATAGTTTTACGGCCGTTCGGCTGTCTGTCTGGCCGGTGATGTAGGGCTGAATGCGCCCGTAGAAATAGATGTTGGCTACGGTGTGTTGGCTAATGTAGCGGAAGCTGAGTTAGTTGTCTGGTCGCAGAGCGTGGTTGCTGGAAGACGTCTGGTCGCGGAGCGCGGTCGCTGGAGTGGCGGCAGCTGCGTCTGTTGCCCGGTGTGTTGGGGATGACCGCCGGAGAGCCGAGGCAGCCGTCCCTGACGCAGTGAAGAGCCGATCTCTGGACCAGTGTGATGACTGACTGGCTGGTGTGGTCACTGATGATAAGTCAAAGTCATGTTGCAGCTGACGGTCAGTCAGTCTGTCTTGGTGTCGAGCCCCAACTGGGGCTCATGACCAGATGTTTTCTTCTTTGTGAAAGTTGCTGTCCTGTCCATTTTGGGCGCCCTCTCTGACGAGAGGTCGGGTTTGTCATTTCATGATTGCTGGGTTGGAGCTCTGTCTTTTATACCAATCTTGGTGGGCGGAGCTTTGACTTGTAGTGGCGATTGTGAGCGCTGACTGGCTAGCGCGTGTAATGATTACGAGTGAGCTGGGCATCGAGTGCTGTATAAATTTGAGTGGTGGCAGCAATGTGATTGGTTAGCGCGCGAGATGGTGAAAAGTGAGCCGGACAGTGGGTGCTGTATAAATATGAGAGCTGACAGCAATGTGCTATTGACTTAGGAGTGAGTGTTGTCCGTTGATCGGCGAAACAGTGTGATAGTATGCGGGATGTTCCCACAAACCTTTAGGTTCCATAAAATTCAGAGTTGTTGAGTACCTGTAGATTTGGCTTCTCCTCAAGAAGGGCTCAGCTCTGTAAGTAGGGTAAGAAATATGCGGACGGCTGATGTCGTGGCTGAACTGGAAGGAATGGAGAAACCATGGAGACGTGTGACAAGAGAGCGGGTATCCTGGCGGCAGTTCCTCAAAACAAAGGGCTGCTAAGAACTCAACACAAACGTTCTACAAAATCTCATGAGAATACGCCAATCCCTCCACGGCTGATAATATAACTTACTCGAAACCTATTTTCCTAAAAACCACTTCACCTCATGTCGCAGTCGAGTGGATAACACTGCCGTTTCTTATTTTGTAAGATGTGGGTTCAAATCTAGACCTGAATACCGGCTATCCTAGGTTCATCGTGGCATTCCTCAGTCCCTCTAGACAAGTGCTGTAACAGCCACGACCGCTCACTTCCATGTCTTTTACAATTCATTATTCACATATCATAATACCATTCGACGCTATACAGAGTAATCTACTGAGAGCGTGGTTAAATAGTGCATTAATGCATCATTTTAATATTATCATTCCAACCAACTCCATACTGCCGAGATCTTCAGAAGCTGCTAATTGCGCAGCTACTCTAAGAATTTCCCCAACATTTTATGGAACCAGAAGTTTCATTACCGTGTTCACAAGAGCCCTCCAGTGGTCCCTAACCTGAGCCAGATTAATCCAGTCCATACCACCCCATCCGATATTCCACGTACAAGATCTCTTATTCATTTAACCTTCCATCCACACACAAGAACTACCTTCTCTACAGGATTTCAAACAAAAAAAAAACATGGGTCCGCGTTCGTCTCTCCCATCTTCATAGGTGCAGGTTCCACATTACGTAATACGTCCCTTCCTCTTGTTGCTTCTTTCTTACGTCGAAATATTCGTTCTCGAACGCCTTGTACGTGTTTCCGACATATACAAAATATCAGTTATGGCTTAGGTATTAAATTATGATACTGCACAATCTTAATGAGGTAACACCATCTGCCAACAAACGAATACTTTAATTTGTATATTAATACACATAAATGGCCTACTTTTATTCCGTTTCCTCAAGTGTTCCCTGCGTAGGAACAGACACATCAGCAAAGTAACTGAAACTTACTTGTCACAAACAGAAGCTGATGTGTACATTCGGGTCTGCATTATCTAAACTGCACTTCACAAGACCGAAACGATTCCATTTTTACATACGATCCGGATGAAAAAGAAAGAAAACATACTTGAGAAATCCTCTGAAAGTGGACGCACCTAACAGCGGGCTAGCAAGCACACTGTGGTCCCAACGAAGCTACCATTCTCTCCCCGATACGACTTTCATACGGAATGGGGAGGGGAGGAACGCGACGGATGAATGGTCGAGGGGTCGCAGGATGTATCAGGCCTCCTGGCCTTGCTCCTACGATGCAGTGCGTCCCTTCAGCTCAGTAACACAAAAATAAAGACAGACTTCCCTTTCACCATGAAGACATACGAATCGATACAACTGAGGCAAGCAACTCTGCTTATAAAGAATAGCTTTCTTTACGATGGAAAGCAATTACGAACCGTATTCTTCTAACTGTTCTTGAATTTTGAAGGCATTTTGTTGAAGCGATCTTATATTAAAGTTGCAGGACAAATTTAATTTTGCTTCGTCTATGTTCAATATATATAGGATACCGCTGAGAGAGCCAGAAGGAAGGAGACCACTGGGAAGACCAAAACGTAGGTGGCTGGACGATATTAAAATGGGTTTACAGAGATTGGTTTGGATTTATCTGGCTCAGGACTGGGACCAGTGGAGGGCTCTTGTGAACACGGTAATGAACCTTCGGGTTCCATAAAATGCTGGGAAGTTCTTGAGTGGCTGCACAATTGGCGGCTTCTCAAGAAGGGCTCAGCTCCATAAGTAGGTAGGTTCAATAGTATTGGCAGGGACAAGATTTTTCTCTTCTCCGCAGCGTCCAAACCGGGTCTGGGGCCCAATCAGCCTCTTATCCATTGGATAGGGAATAAAGTGGCCGGGACGTGAAACTGACCACTCACCTCCAGCTAGTGCCGAGGTACGAACGGCAGAGCTATATCACTACGCCCCCCTTTGTCTTCATTGCACAGGGACAAGTTTATTTTTACCTCTATGGGTTAAAAGTACCCCCAATACAAAATGGATTTCGATGAAATTCAGTAGAGGCAGTCTCCACTAAAAGCTGCTGGAGGAACTCATTTCTGCTTCATATCGGTTCAATATAACCGCTACTTTATACACTAAGCTCAAACAAAACATCTGTTTCCTCAAAAACTGCTCACAATATGGGAAATTAATGTACCACATAAACAAGCTCAACTTTTATTTCAAACATTTTCCAATGTGACGACCATTTAATAAAACAGAAGATGAAACTATTTCTGACTACAGTGTGATTTCCTCCCCCGATTCTGGAATTCCATACCCAAATTCGAGCCGAATGATTAGTGGCAGAGGAAATGTCACAACCTAACTTCTGCTGATTATGTCATGGAAGAAAACCGATTACATCTCTAGAACGGAAAACATAATTTCAGTTGACCGGGCCATAGCAGTTGAACCCCAACTTCTCTACCAAAGAAATGGTATACTCTGTTTCCAGTTCGCCAAGTCATGTCAATACAACAATATATTTTTCCATAAAATGACAACAACTCCATATGACAGGTGGGTTCTCAGGTGGCCTTCTGTGATATGACATGTAGTTTGGAGAACAGGCACCAACCTCCTGCTACCTCCACCTTCTGAAAATGGAGGCAGGAGATTCCTCTGAAAACGTTGGTACCATCATCTACCAAACAACATGGCATCATATTCTAGAAGGCTGAAACAAGCATTGTTGCGTACCAATTTATATCTGTAATGGACAAAATTCGAAAGAAATTAGTCACAGCATTTTCTCCAACCAATGATATTAAAACAATTAGGGCATTCCCCACTACTATGGAACCTATGTTCTCTTTCCTGTTCCACTTCACGTTTTCGGTCTATTTCTGTACAATCCATTTTAATATTATCCTCTCATATACGTCTAAGTCTCTTAAGTGGTATCTTATGAGATTTTCCAGGCAAAAGTGTATACTATTTATTCTTTAGTTATTTCATACATGTACCCAGTAAATAATTCCATGGTACTGAGGCCCATGAGGTTTTCCAATCATAACCCTGTATGCTATGCTGGCTTCCCCCAAACAAACATCTAGTAACAAAATTCATGTAAAGAGTCCTCCTATGAACTGTCAGCAGCAAAAACAGTAAGGTAAAGTTGTCCCTGTGCTTAACTAAGCACTATGCCATGAAGGTGTATGGGGGGGGGGATGTACAGATCCACATTTTCTTAACCTCGGCACTAGTTGGTGGGGGGTGGTCAGCTTCACACCTCTGCCACTTTACCCCCGAAGAAAGAGTTCCTGGTACCCACTGTATAGAAGGTTTGGTGGACCCCAGAGCTGGTCTGGATGACATGGAGAAGCAAACATTTTTGCCTTGCCGGGACCTGAACCCTAACTCCTCTGTCCTCCAGTCTACAGCCAGTTGTTATACTGACTGAGCTATCCCAGCTCCTCAAAAACAGTAAGAGACAGCAAAATAATAACTTATTGAAAGACTGAGGTCCTTCAAAGGTACACACTGCAATTTTACAGGCTACAAGTTCACTGTTTGGCATGACAAGCCACGATGTGCTGTCTGCAGAGTAATAATGCCCAATGAAATTACATTATGCGGTTATCGGAATTTTAACAACATCTCATTACTTGTTAGTCAGATTTGTGAAACAAGCCTTGGCAGCACTTTCTTGGCATAGACATTAACTTTATAAAGAATGTGAAATACTCGTACAAAGCAAATAGTAACCATCTGTAAGGAAACCTGAAAGCAACTTGGCGATTCAAACCAGGTTGAAAAACGTAACGAATTTGCACCATCGCAGAAGATCTTACTTTGCCTACCAAAGCATATTCTGAGATTTGGTGATCCACAGAAGAAAAGACATAAAAATGTATTTCCCATAAAACACAGTGAAAGAACAGATGACACCACAATTGGACATAAAGTCAAAACTGATAACTGCAACAAAGAAGCTCTTACTATAATATGAAGCAGAATTAATCAGTGGACATATCAAAACAAGCAGTGCTTCTTGCTTATGTAAGATGCATTTTTGAAAATGATGTTCACAAAAACATCCTAAGTCTCATGACTACAGCAGCAGTTCTCACGTGTTTATGTTCATAACCATTTCTGATGCAAAAACGTCACGTGTCCAAGGTTCTGTGACTAATAACTGGTTCTGGATTGACACCATCTTGTACAATCACTCTTTATCACAATCAATTATAACGGCTCACAATCAATGACAGCTTAAGACTTGCTCCATCCCTTACTGGACAACGAATGTCTTCTCTTTCACTGTGACTGACTTGGTCCTGATTTACAAACCGGTCAACTACAGATCACTAAGAACAAATGACGAACAAAGAATCAATGAATCAATTATGTGTTCCCCCCCCCCGCCTTTTTTATTGCGAGTGGGGTGGGACTAAGTCCCTTGTATTGCGGCCACTTCTGGCCTATTGTACCAGCCCCAGATGATGGGTGAGGGTGATTGTGGAGCAATTGGTGGAATGAAGATTGGCAGGGGAAACCGAAGTACTCGGAGAAAACCTGCCCCAGTGCCACTTATTCCACTACAAATCCCATTTGACCAGACCTGGGATCGAACTCGGGCAGCCGCGGTGGGCAGCCAGCGACTAACCGCTTGAGCTATGGTGCGGCCATTCCTCCCCCTTTATAACGTTGGGGAGTACCGAATATAAGTCACAAACCCGACAATTTCTCTATTACTCTGCGTTTATCCGTTGCTGCAGAAATGTGCCTGGTGAGCTGCTGTCTAGCTGTGGACTATTCCGGTTTCAGGGGTTATGTCACAACAGTTATCACAAAATAGATGCATTTGAAAAGAAAAAAAAAGAAAACACACTGGAAAAACTGCTGTAGCATTACCACTGATTGTCTGCAAAGAATACAGGCAGATAATATGTGCATAAAACTGGCGCTAGAGCTACCAGTGTTGCGAGGATTTCTGCACATTAAAGCATTTGCCACTAAGACAAATGTACCTGAAGTGTTCTAGGTACTGCAGGATAAATAAGTGCCCTTACAAAAGGAAGTATCTGCACTTCACTCTACTTTAAAGTGGCTCAAAGCATATGACACTTGAAGAGTTCTATCTTCTGGGATATAGTGCCATGTAGTGCAGTAAAGCCAACTAGTGTTACATAATTAAGCAACTCTGAAGTTCAAAGGGTCACATGAAATTTTTACTACATGAACCCATCTCAGATATTTGTGATGGAGTGTCACATGTTGGATATGAGGTTCCCACAGCAATGGTGATTAACAGTTTTATCTTCTGGGCTATAACACTGCGTAGTACGACTTGGTTGATCCTGGTCCGTCACACTATTAAGAGTATAGAAGATCATGACATTGTAATAATAGTGTTTGTATGTATAGATAATGACCAATGACATTGTAACAGTAGTGTCCACATGTATTGATATGTCCTTCTGAAGATGGTCGTTCCAACATGTAAAGGATGAAAGATTAAAAAAAAAAAACATTTATCAATCACATTGGAAGGCAATAATATTTTATACTGTGTAGTCCACTGAAAGTCAACCAGTGTGTTTCAGAGGAACATATGGCCTCCATCTTCAGCGTAGAAGAGTAAGCCAAGCAAGAAACAAGAATAATGCAGGCAGCTCTGCTTGTTGAAGACAGAGGAAATGTGTTACAACATAACATGGACTGGCTTTCACAAGACTACATGATGTTACATCCCAGAAGACATGAGGAACCCATGGCACTTCTTCATCAGAAGCAAGTGAGATAACTCTCGTGGAGGTAAGAAATATCCATTTCATGCGATTCTCTGAACCTCAGAGTTAGGGAACTTAAGTACTTGTTACTAATGGGTGATCCAAAGAACTTCAAAATTGACTGCCATTTTTATCTACATCAGCACATGCGTAGTTGATCTGCAGATTCAATCCACCATTAATTCAATAATGCCGGTGTGACCATGGTTATCTTGCATTGTGAATTCTTCAAACAATAAACCTGTGGAATCTGTTGCGAACTGAAAAGGATGAAATTCATTTTCTCAGACATGACATTCTGTCAAGTGGATAGGAGTGTGATCAAGGAGGACGAGAGGCCGTGCCATGGCTCAAGCGGTTAGTCGCTGGCTTCCCGCTGCGGCGGCCCGGGTT